ATGACTGCAGATGATATCCCCAAGAGGGAGCATATAGATCAGAAAGAGGAGGGGGCCAAGGATGGATCCTTGGGGTACCCCGCAAGTAACCGGGTGAGAGCGGGAGGAGAAGCCGTTTGTGCAGATGTACTGCTGGCAGTTCGTGAGGTAGGACTCGAACCAGGCGAGTGCGGTCCGCTGAGGTGGATGACGGAGGAAAGGCGGTGGAGGAGGATGGCGTGAGCCCTGGTCACAGATAGAGAGGATGTCATTTGAGCGTTTCACAAGCGCAGTCTCTGTACTGTGGGCAGGGTGGAAACCGGACTGGAGGGGTTCGAAGAGGGAATGGGAGGATAGGTGTGTGAATTCTAGGACTTTTGTGAGGAAGGGCAGGTTAGAAATGGGGTGGTAGTGGTTGGGGTTTGAGGGATCTAGGGAAGGTTTTTTGAGGAGGAGGAGGGTGATGACAGCAGTTTTGAGGGGGGCAGGGACTGATCCAGAGGAGAGGGACTGGTTGATGACATCAGCCAGTAGTGGGCAGAGGAGGGGGAGCTGGGTGACCAGCAAGTTGGTGGGGAGGGGGTCGAGGCAGCAGGTGGTGGGTTTCATTGAGGTGATGGTGGGTGAGAGGGAGGAGGAAGAGATGGGGAGGAAGGAATGTACGATGGGGGTCGTGGTAGGAGCTGATGATGGGGAGGGTGAGGGGGATGGAGAGGGGGTGGTGGTGTGTGACAAGAGGCAGGAGGATGAGGCTGCTTAGCGGATGTTATGTATTTTGGATGAAAAGAAGTCCATGACCTCCTTGCACTTGGCATTGGATGTGAAGATTGAGGAGACCTGAGGGGATGCATGGAGGAGATAGTGGGTGATGGAAAAAAAGACTTTGAGATTGTTTTTTGATTCCAAGATGATGTTGGAGTAGAAGCCGTTTTCACGCGCATCAAAAGATGGTGGTAGCTGTGAAGATGCTCGAGCCACAGTTGGTGATAAACTGTCAGTCCAGTTTTCTGCCATCTGCGCTCAAGCAGCCGGGTTTGGGTTTTTAGGCAGCGGAGATGAATGTTATACCAGGGGGATCGGGTGGGTTTGGAGATGGTCCTGGATTTCAGGGGGACGAGGGAGTTGAAAATGGAGGAGAGGCGATCACGGAGCAGCTGGACAGCAGCTTCAGGATCTCTGCAGGTGGAATGCCAGAGGGATAGTATATTTGAGGATGTGAGGGACTTTGTGAGGGTCTCAGGGGGTAGCCTTTTCCACGAGTGGTAGATCACAATACTGCTAGCTCCAGGATTCGTCAGTTATAAATGCTTTAATGACTCACGAAAATTAGATACCAAAAATAACAAAACAAAATATTTCTCAAATCTGAAAATGAATGGAGTACCATTCCCTGGAAAAGTAGTTCACCATAAAGTCTCTGGCCTGCAGAAATTAAGAGCCATTGTACTAACCTCTCCCCATGATCTGATTTGTTGTTCTGCACCAGATTATGACAACAAAAAGTGAATGTTAAACAAAGCAAATTAAGTTACAAGCAACTCCAGCGACTAGCAATTACAATAAAAGAACCCTTGCTTCAATTTCAAGATGGTGTTGTTAGAAAATAAAATCAGCCAAATCTGTAAGGAAATAATGCTAATTCCTCTAACCAAATATCAGACTGTTTTATTATTATTTGTTTGTTATTCCCCAATATCCCAATGGGTCAGACCAAAGGCCGGTACAATCAACAGATCTTATAACAGAATAACACCACTATAGATATCTCGAGTTCAAGAGTTCAACACTGTGTCTTTACAGCACACAAGCTTGATTCTTCATGCTTTCAGTCTTGTTGCTTACAGCTTTCAATCTTCCATCTGATATCCTCAGTCTTAGTGTTTCCAGCTCTCAGTCTTCCATCTCCGTACCCTTGTCTCCGCAGCCCGGGATGGCCCCATCTCCCGTATCCTTGTCTCCGCGACCCGGGACGGCCCCGTACACAAAGTTATCGGAACTCTTATACTAATGTTCATCCAATCATGGTGCAGACATTAGATCACCCGGTCGAAATCATGCCGGGTTCACATGAACGCCTCATGGGGTGTACGTGCCTCACACACACAAACACACTGTCCTTGAGACAGTCCGTTATCTCGTGTACGTGCAGAGAGTTTCAGTCCAGCTGCCCACAACACACTTAACTTAAAAGTTAACCCGTTCGCAACATCTATTATGATTCTAACATTATACAAAAAGTGTAAATTCTAACAGTGTCAATCATGAGTTGAAAGTGAAGAAGAGAAAAATGTCTTGGGAGAAACTTCTCGGAAAGGTGGATTGCCACAGCAAATGAACCCAAATTCTGTCCTAAGTGATGCAGTCAGATTTCGTTGTAACATGATGACTTGAGTCTGTATAATTGGACACCACATTTTGACGGATTATGCTATAGAGCAGCAGCCAGTCAGCACTTCCTGGTTGCAGCTCATTGATGTCACCACCACAACAATGACAAAATTACATTTATAGAGCACATTTCACGTCGGGAGGACGTCCCAAAGCACTGAACAGTCAGGTGTCGGGGCCCGAGCATGGGGAAGGGGTGGGGTAGGAATGAGGGAAGGTAGAGAGGTGGGAGGGAGACCAAAGGCACGGTCGAAGAGAAGGGTCTTGAGACCGGCCTTGAAGGAGGCAAGGGAGAAAGCGAGGCGAAGGGACCGTGGGATGGAGTTCCAGAGTGTGGGGGAAGAGAGGCTGAAAGCCCGGCCACCGATGGTAGGGCGGGTCGGGTGGGAGAGAAGGCCGGAGCCCGATGAACGGAGGGAGTGGGGAGGTTGGTAGGGAGTCAGCAGGTCTGAGAGGTAGGAGGGGGCAAGGCCATGGATGGCCTTAAAGGTGAGGACAAGGATGAGGTGAGGATGAGGATGAGTCACCAAACCTGACTGTGCCTTTGCACAGGAAGCCTGCAACCAGCAACTCGTAAATGTACTGAGGATCCGTGCATCTTGGAATTGTACCGCACTTTTGGTATACTCTAAGGCCACAGTGCTGTACTACCCATACTGACATCCAGACCAACAGACATCTTTGAGACGTCTCAAAGCACTTTACAAAATTTACTGTAAGGTGAATTGACTGTATATTTTGTGAGCAAAATGCAGCAGCCAATTGTGCACAGCAATGTCCCACAAACAGTTATGGATTGAGTGACTAATTTTTTTATTTTCCAAAGCGCCGGGTTCTTGGAATGCCCTGGTTCAGCCGTGTTATTAATGACATAGAGTCAGCTAAAACCAGCTTACCTCCAGTGTGCAGTGACATAGCGAGGATGCGTCACTCACTCTTTGGACATATCCGCTCAATGGACGAATGGTGGTCTGCCCACTGGGCTCTCGCACTTGTTGTTGAGATGTACCACATATGGAGGTGACACCATGGCATCTGAGACATACCTGGGCATGATAATTCAGGGTGAATTCAGGCCTTGAACCTCAGAAAGCCTGGGATACTGTCCATGATCAGCTGCTGTGGAGATTTTGACAACCCAACACTGGTCATGGACTGTAGTAGTAGTATTGCCCATACAGTAACAGTAAATGACTCACACAGGTTAACTATGAATAAAGAGAGTGCATGTTAAATCACTGGAGAACAAAATAATGGGAGACTGCATGATTAAATAGGTTAGCAAGCTGACCTGTCACTTCTGAGACTCATGTGTGAATATAAACCCTCACTGTTGACTGAAAGCTTTTTTTGTCTGACTGTGAGGTTCCAATATGAAGTGAACTTCAACAGTCTCAACTCAGTTTTAGTAAGTGTGGGCTCTCAACACAAAAAGCTTCATGGGATTCAGTGTGAAGCATAGTGACTGTCTATTTAGTGTAGGTGAACATGGCAGCCAATATGTGCAATGTCGTTTAATTAGCCATTAAGTGAATACACATTTTGGATCCGGTCAGGAGGATTGTTGGTCAGGACACCTGGAGAAAATCCTTTCTCTTTGCAGTCAGAAAAGATTTTAAAGAGCCATAGGATCACCGGAACAGGCAGACGGGGCCTGTTTAACTTCTCATCCGAAGGATAGCACCTCCGACAATGCAGCACACTTCGAGCACAGCATTGGAGTGTCAACTTAAACTATGAACTCAAATTCCTGATGTGGGATTTGAACCCACTGCCGTCTGCCGCATGGGGAAAATTTCTAGCAACTGAGCTAGGACATATAGAAAGTTACAGCACAGAAGAAAGCCATTCAGCCAATTGTGGCATGCGGGACTCTAACCTTACGATGTCTGTTAAATTAGTTTTTATATGACATCTCTTCAGTCTCTTGGCACCAAATGAGTAATTAATTATGCCTACTATGTTGTTACAAGTAATGAATAATAATAATAATGATAATCCTTGCATTTGATATAGCGCTTTTCACATCAGGAGGACGTGCCAAAGCGCTTCACAGAACACACTGTAAAGTGAATTGACTGTATATTTGTGGGCGAACGCGGCAGCCAATTGTGCACAGCAATGTCCCACAAACAGTCATAAATTGAAAATGACCAATTTATTATTGTTTTTTGTTTTGGAGGGATTATTATTAGATGTGTGGAGTAAGGAAACTTGCCCAAGGTTTCGCCCTGCCTGGAATTGAACTCAGGTCTCTCGCTTGCAAAGCGAGTGCTCTAACCACTGAGCTACAGGACTAACCACTGAGCTACAGAATTGTCCTTGTGTATGTGTGTGTGTATTTTGGCTAATTGTCTTATGACATCTTTTACAATTTAACTTGTTTTCTTTTACTTTGTGTCTGGTTAGTTTCAAATGTTTTCCATAGTGATTTTTGTTTCTCCAATAAACTGACAGGGCAAAAAGGCTTTGGTTCAGCTGCCCGCAAGCCTTTGCAATTAGGTATCTTGACCAAAATAAATTTTTTTACACAGCTTCAAATGAGCTTTTAATAACCATCGATTTGAATGGATTTTTTCCTGCAATGTCATCCACATGTCTCAATAGATGGTCTTGTCTTGTGTTTTGAACAGAATGCAGTGACAAGGAGTTCAGAGAAGTTGCCTCCAGACTAAAGGACTGGTTCAAAGTACTGCACGAAAATGGAAACTACAATAAGAAGAGTCGCGGACTTCAGAGACAAGACAAGGATAGAGTTAGTAAGTGCTTGCAGAAATGCCACAAGGACACAGTTAACGAGTGCCCTCAGAGACAAGGATATAGTTAATAAATACTCTGAGAGACAAGACAAGGACACAGGTAGCAAGTACAGGCAGCATGTTAGAATTTTTTATTAAATTGTTCCAACAGAAACATGACATATTGGGAGTAAATGTGCAATGTGTGATATTGCAGGAACACTATATGTGCTTGTTCTTGTCCCATACATAAACACTTGTTTGTAGCTGAGCACACCGCCACCAACATACCCACACACACACAAATGATTAGCTTCTCTCAGGCTTCACTCTGCTTGTCCATGTAAATTGCACCTGGGTCTGGACTTAGTATATTAACATAGCATTTTAGAGTGTTCAGAATTAGGCTAATTGTTAAATTCAATTTTAACTTTGATGCCCGTTTCCATAGTTTTTTTTAAAAAAAACTTAAATAAAATCAGCTTCAAAATTAAAAACTAAACTGTATTTAGAAATGTCCCAAATTCTGCAAATTCTGAAATGCTACATTAATAGAGCGAGTCTAAACTCAGGTAGGATCTCTACCCACAGAAGCCTCAAATGATTCAGAATTCTGAATACTGAATTCTCCCCTGCAACAACTTCTTCTTACCCAAGCTTAATGCTTGCCAAGCTCCATTGACTCCCATTATTTCAAAAGATCCTTCTTTAGTATCCTTGTCCTTGTATCCAAGTAACTACAAGGTCTGATTCCACCCTACCTGTGCAATCTAATTTTGCAGTCGGTACCTTCCACTCTTTTGCCTCAGGTCTATTACTTTCATTACTTTGTGCCCATCATCAGTGACTAAGTCTTCATGCCCTTTTCTCTGAAACTCTCTTCCAATATCGTCTCCCTCACTACCTCTCTTTCTGCCTTCAAAAGCCTCCTAAAATAAATCAGTGCCTTTAGTCAACATCTTTAAATCTCTCACCTCGCTGCACAGTATGCACCATCACATTTGCCATGAACAACACCATGTTTTTGTGTCTATAAATGCAGGTAGTTTTAAACTGTAATGTTTATTCTAGCAAATCGAACAGCTTTGCTGTTGCTTTTGGGGCGTTAGTTTCCATTTACCATTGTAAACATGGTATAACTGTCACAGAAGAGGGAGGAACAAAATCCAAAACAAACAAAATGGCTCTTTGAAACAGCTTTGATTTGGTGGGTACTGACATAATATTATGGCACCTGCTGGAAGAATCAGAGGACCTATGTCATTACATTGTTCAAAGAGCTTTCAAGATGAATGGTTTCCATTTAACAACAGACAGCAGTCATTTACTGCTTTGGAGAGATTGTTTGTAGCTTTTTTCCACCAGCTGATATTGTAGTTATTGAGGGTGCAAGAGACAGAAGAGTGTCCAGATGTACCAAAATGTTCTTTTCCACTGGTGTACAGTTCTATGTGCTTATTGCTTGCTATTGCTGGGTAAAATATATCATAGGTGGAATTCTGTGATATACCCATTGCATATCAATGAGGATAACTACCCTCCTTCCACCTCCACACGCAGAAATCTAGGAGCAAATAAAACATTGCATTACGTTTTTTTGTCTGTCTGCTCTTTAAATCTGGGCTTCTTTAAGTCTGATTTTTGAAAATTAAAATGGGTTTTTATTATTTTTTAAATAGAAAAGGGCTTCTTTAAATCTGATTTTTTAATTAAAATGGGTCTTTGCTTGTGACTAAGCAGCAAAGAAATTCCAAATGAGCAAAGGCCATATGAACCAAGCATTATTCCAACAGTCCTTTTGCTCCTTGCATGTTCATGGACTCTCCCCCAGAGTTTTTAATATCCCAGGGGAGTTAATAAGGACAACTTCCAAGAGAACATAAAGCCGTAATGATAACATCAGTTTAGAAATGATCCATTTTAACATTGCAATAAACCTGCCAGCTTTAAAAGTGGGTCTTTTGAAAATGAAATTGCAAACAGGAAGAATATGTTGGCTCAGTGGTTAAAGCACTCGCTTTGCAAGCAAGAGATCTGGGTTTGATTCCTGGCAGGGTGAAACCTTGGGCAAGTTTCCTTACTCCACACGCCTGATAATAATCCCTCAAGAAAATAAACAATAATAAATTGGTCATTTCAATCCACTACTGTTTGTGGGACACTGCTGTGCGCAATTGGCTGCTGCATTTCGCCCACAAATATACAGTCAATTCACTTTACAGTCTATTCTGTGAAGCGCTTTGAGTCGTCTAGAAGACGTGAAAAGCGCTCTATCAAATGCAAGGATTATTATTATTTTCAAGTACGGTCAGCTAAACAGTGAGGAAGAATGCCATTCTTATTATCTTATTATCTTATGTCTTGGGATGAAGTGATAAAAATTAAATGTATGTGTTAAAGGCAAAAAGTTGTTTATAAACAATTTTCCAATTGTGAAATCCAAGTGGAATTGATCTCTGGCTCTTTAATTAATTCATATAAGATTTATTAAAACATATCAATTCTACACTTTTGTGTGAGCTACTCAGGTTATAAAATTCATTTTGCTGTCTCATTGGCTTAAAAAGAAGATCTATAGTGTTGATCAGATTCTGTTATGCACACTCTCAACATTTTAGATTTGACCTTTATTTTTAACCAATTAGATACTTGTCTTTTATACTGATTATAATGAACAAGATGATAGTGATAGTGATAGTGTGATCTCATATGCTGGGATCATGGGACCACCCTCCAGTGTCTTGTACTTTTGGAGTAGAAATCCTGTGAGTCAGTGTGACATTTGTCAAGTTATCAGAAGATGTCTATTCAGATTCATTAAAATCTTTTTGTTTAGAGCATATTCAGATCATTTGTTCATTTTAATCCATCATCCAGGATTGGCCCCTTTCTCGTTTTTTATTTAAATTTCGAAATCAACTGTAGATAACTGAAGACACCGATAGTGGGAGGATGACAGATTAAAACTTGTCCAAAATGTCTCTAGATGGTAATATTGTAATATTGAAGTTATCGTTTTCCACAAGGCTAAGATGCTCTCTGTTTCTTTCCTATTCCATAGTCTCCCCGAGGCACATGCCAGCTGTGGCTGAGAGACCAGGTGAGTGGCATGTTCTCAAATAGGTCTCTCTATACCGGCTGCTGAGAGATGCACAGGAAAAGCCTTCAAGTGACCCTTCCATTGATTTTCATTAACCTCGGAGCTTCCTCTCAATGCCAACAGTAACAACTTATGTAGCCGTTTTCAAGGCCTTGCTCCTCCTTAAGTCTCTGATCTCCTAACCCACTACTAAACTGTCCACTCAGCAGACTTTGGCCTGCTTCAAGTCTCCCGCCTTGCCCACCATTGGCGGGTGGACCTACAGCCTCTCTGCCTCCATCCTCTGGAACTCCATCCCACACTCCATCCATTCCTTTGCCTCACCCCTCCCTTGCCTCCTTCAAGACCTGTCTCAAGACCCTCTTCTTTGACCGTGCCTTCGGTCACCTCCACCCCTCTTGATTCCAACCACCAGCTCGGGCGCAGATCCCTGACTGTCCAGCACCTTGGGAAATCCTCCTGATGTGAAAGTCGCTATACAAATGTAATTTGTTGTTGTTGTTCATATAGTACACAACTCAGTTGGGCTCTCTGCAACATAAGATAGCCAATACAAACCTACACCCCATCAATCTGTTTAATCACAGCATCTCCAATATCCACTTACTTGTTAGCAGCTTTATCTAGCGATCCTTTCAACTTTCTTGGTAAGGTAGAATTAATTGACAGAAGGCAGAGACAGCACTAAATCAGCAAGGCGTATTTGAACAGATTTCATTTTAAATGGGGAGGTGTGAAGTCAGTACATATTGTAGTTCAGATTAATGTAGATTATAAATAATATCCATATCAGTTTGACCTGCTAGAAGAGTCTTCCTTTATTACTGTGGAAAAAGTAAACACAACCACAATGATCGTGGCACCTCAGTTAAGTTACATAACCATTCTTCTCACTCCCAGGTGTACTTCACCAAAGCACATTTTTAATCACTGAATTCCTAAGGCATTTTGAGTGCTCACAATGATGATATATTTGATGTGATCTAAATAACCTACTATTACAATCAGATATCATGATATATAAAACATAATATAAAAACAATAATAAATTAGTCATTTCAATCCACGACTGTTTGTGGGACACTGCTGTGCGCAATTGGCTGCTGCGTTTCGCCCACAAATATACAGTCAATTTACTTTACAGCATATTCTGTGAAGCGCTTTGAGACATCTAGAAGACATGAAAAGCGCTATATCAAATGCGAGGATTACTATTGTTATTAGTAGTAGTAGTATTATATATAACGCAGTGGTTTAAGTCCAAAAAAAGATGACCCCATGTTATAAAGGCTGGTGCTATAGAGTGGCCAGTGCTTCCTGGGACATCAGATCATCAATGATATCACTGAACCTGGCTGTGCATTCACACAGCAAGCCGACAACTGCCCTCACCAGGTTTACAACAGTTATCAGCTCCTACTGTGCTGAAAACTGGAAATGTACTGGACTCCCAGTACATGGCTGTTCCACATGCAACTGTGTATAACTGGAACTGAAATATATTGGAGCACAATATAACAAGGTCCGATTATAGTATGTAAGCAGCGACGTATAACAGGTTTTACTTTCTAAAAAGATCACTTGACATTTGCCCTCTGTTCCTCAGGATTTGACACCAGTATTCTGCCCATTTGCAAGGATTCACTTGGTTGGATGTTCAACAGACTAGATACAAACTATGACCTGCTGCTTGATCAGTCAGAGCTGAGAAGCATTTATTTTGACAAGCATGACCAATGCATGAAACCGTTTTTCAACTCGTGTGACACCTACAGAGATGGTAGGATTTCCAACAACGAATGGTGCTACTGCTTCCAGAGACATCAAGGTGAGAGAGCGAAGGAATAATGGCGTGCTATTAAATGTTTTTCATTTTAAAACATGGTGACTTATCTGTTCAATGTTACAGGAGCTTTTCATGATTTATACATGACTTTGCAAAACCTGCTTGATGTCAGCAAAGTTGTTTTCCGCCAATTTTAAAATAAATTTAAATTAAAATGCAGTTTGTTTTCTATTTGCAACAAACGTAAATAATACAAACCTCCTGGTTCTCATGCATTAAGAGAGTAGCGAATAGAGGGGTCTGGAGATATGCATTATATATCACCCAGTAAAAAGCTCATTTTAAGGACCCACAAAATACTGTCTTGTTATGGGATTGGACTGTAACAGAAGAGCAATGAGAAAGGCTGGGACAAAGTTGCCTCTTAAGTACCAAAACTTTGGAACACTTAATCCCTCCACCTTGCCCCCTCCTTCCCCATCTTCAGGTCGTGCCTGAAGACGTTCCTCTTCCACCGTGCTTACGGTCACCTCCCCTCCCCCCGGCTCAGTGTCGTGCTCCTCCATTGTCAAGCATTCTAGGAAGTTACCCTGTGTGAAGTGTGCTATATAAATGGAAGTTTTCTTGCCTGATAATAGGTGTATCTCCTGGCCTCCTCTCCTTTAAGATTAGTACAGGCAAGCAATGGACTGCTGCCATTCTATTTGTATGTTACTGCTGAACTCAGAATTGTCAGTTAGCACCACTGTTATGCAAAGGGAGCATAAATAGACATAAACTGACCTTGTTCAACTCTGGCTTCAATCACCTGAAACCATTCTATTTAATGATAACTCAGTGAAAAGTGCGAGGTAGAAGTATACAGTGTGATGTGTTTATTTTCATGCTATTTGTATGCATGCTCTCACCATGAATACTGTAGTATTTTCTTTAACACATTGCCACTCTATCATTCAGTGCTGCCAAAATAATCTCAGAAAATGAAAATAGAATATTTCTGAGTTGCTGTTGGCAGCCAAGGTAGAGGGGGGGAAAATTCAGCTCTGGGTTTCAACTGCGAACAACACAAACTTATACCATTCCAAAACAAGCCAAACATTTTTTGGTTCAATTCCTTGTTTCTGAATTTTATGATGGTTGAGTGTGGTGTAAACACTGGCAGAGTTCCGCAGTCAGATTTGCTGTGCCAAATGTTTGCAACCAGCTCATGCTTCCTCTCACTCTCCATCTCCAGCTTCTCTTCAGTTCCAATAACTAAAACACGTGATTCACTTCACTTGGTGATTTACTTCATGATTTGGGACTTTGCTGCATGCAAATCAGCTGCCGCGTTTGCCTACAAAATACAGTCACTACACTGTATAGTATATCCTTTGAAGTGATTTGCAATGTCTCGACATTGTGATCAGGTGCTGCATCAAATGCAGGATTATTATATTATTATGTGTAGTTACAGTTTATTGTGGGTGAATATGGCACTAATTTGTGCACATCAATGGCCCATAAAAGGCCATGAAGTGAATAACTAATTTTATCTGGGGGATTGTTGCCAGGACACCAAGAGAAACTCCCTGCTGTACCTGTTAAATAGTTTCAAGGGGATATACTTTCAATCTGGCTGCTCTTCACAACCCAGAACAGCACATGAGCTGACAAATTCATCTTTTATTTAAAATATTGCTACATTTTGCAGTATCAAATTAGTGGAGGCAATGTCTAGGAGAGCAGCGAGGATGTTCTCAAGTGTTAAAGAAATGATCTATGAGCAATAATTATACAAGCTACGGATTTTCAATCTTGAGAGAAGCTGACTCAGAGGAGAGGTTATGGAGGTATATAACATTTTAAATGGGATTGGAAAAGTGAATCCAGAAGAATAATTTAGGATGTGCGAATATGGTAAAACAAGAGGAAATAGGATTAGAGATGCATAGGAGAATTTCAGGAGAGATATTGGGGAAAAAAAATTCTTTAGTCTAAGGGTAATTAATCACTGGAAAAAGGTTGCCAGGAAGGTGGTTGAAGCCAGGAAGCTGCAGTTAAAATCCTAGAATCCAACAGCACTGAAAGAGCCCATTCATCCACTGTGCCTGTACTGGCCTTTTGAAAGAGCTGTTCAATTACTCTCATTCCCCTGCTCTTTCCCCAGTTATTAAAAAAAAGCTTGACTCTGTGATGGGAGGATAATAGGATGAGTATTCTGGAAGGATTGGATTAGACAGGTTTGAAGGATCTTCTTCATCTGAACCTCACTTGTGATCTTGTGAAGTTAGATTGTAAGGGTGACCTGTCGAAGCATTCTAAAGCATTCAACAACAACTTACATTTGTATAGCGCCTTTCATGTCAGGAGGACGTCCGAAGGCACTGAACAGTCAAGGATCCGCCCCTGAGCTGGTGGTTGGGTTCAGGAGGGCAGTGGGGTAGGTGTAGGAGGGTGACCAAAGGCACGGTCGAAGAGGAGGGTCTTGAAACGAGTCTTGAAGTAGGCAAGAGAGAGTGAGGTGGAGGGACTGTGGGATGTAGTTCCAGAGGGTGGGGGCAGAGAGGCTGAAGGCCCAGCCGCCAATAGTGGGGCGGGCGAGGCGGGCAAAGTGAAGCAGGCCGGACCCGCTGAGCTGAGGGAGAGGACACGTTGGTAGAGGGTTAGGAGGTCACAGAGGTAGGGAGGAGTAAGACCGTAGAGAGCTGTGAAGGTGAGGACCAGGATTTTGAACTGTATCCTCTGAGTGATGGGGAGCCAGTGGAGCCTGGCGAGGATGAGGGTGATAGGGTCGTGGAGTCTAGTAATGTCTGTTGATTTTCATTGCTGCAGCTACTTATTTCTAGTTAATGAAACAAAATAAATAAGGTGCTTGCGCTAAAACATTTGCTGCCACCAGGTTTTAGATTAGATGTGCTGCATTCAAAATATTCAAGCTTGAAATGAGCAAACCATCTGTTGTTTATTTGTCACTTCAAGGCACAAGACCTTTGATGTGGTTCTTTATTTATCTTTCAGATAAGTGGAGGCAGTGTTGTTATTTTGGAAACATAGCACAACTTCACAGTGTTTTTCACACAGAGGTGTCTTTGTTGAAGAAATAAAAAAAATCATTCATGACCCTGTGAAGTTCTAGCTGTACAAAACTGAATGAAAGATAAGCACAAAAAGAATACTTCAAAGGTGTTGTGCCTTAAACCACTGGTTATATTGCTTTTCATTACAGCTAAAAGTAACAGAATGGGGAAAAGGCCTGATTGAAATATTCAGGTGCACATCCCAACATACACAAGTATTATTTGTGTAGCTCAGTTCACAAAAATACACAGACAGATAATATTTATCTTTGCGTTTGATATAGCATCTTTCATAACAACAATACATCTCAAAATGCTTCACAAATCTTAATGTAAAGTATAACAATTGTGTATTTCGAACATGACAGGCAAGTTTCACACAGCAATGTCCCAAAACAGACATTTTCTGCCAAGAAGAGGCCATTGTGTCTATGCTGTTTTTCCAAAGCACCCCTTATCATCCAGAACTCTGCACTCCTTGTCCTCTCCCGCACCAGGCTCCGCAACCTTATCACCACCATTCTTGTCTGACTCCACTGGCTTCCCATCACACTGAGGATACAGTTCAAGATCCTGATCCTCACCCTCAAAGCCTCCATGGTTTTGCTCCCCTCTACCTTTGTGACCTCCTAACCCTTTATCAACCTGCCCGTTACCTCCGCTCGACGGCTCCTGCCTGCTTCATGTCCCCTGCCTTGCCTGCCCCATCATTAGCGGGCAGGCCTTCAGCCTCTCTGCCCCCACACTCTGGAACTCCATCCTGCAGTCCCTCCGCCTCACCCGCTCCCTTGCCTCCTTGAAGACACGTCTCAAGATACTCCTCTTCAAGCGTGCCTTCAACACCCTCCTTCCCCCCCCTGCCCTCCACCCTCCCCAATCTCGACGCCCAGCTTGGGTTCGAAACACTGGTTGTCCAGCACCTTAGGACGTCCTCCCGACATGAAAGGCGCTATACAAATGTAATGTTGTTGTTGTTGTTATTTATTAATCCTGCTTTCCAGCTCTCTTTCCATATCTCTTAATGCTTTTTACATTTCTAAATTTCAAATGACTTTTACACACACAAAATGTGATTTTGTTTTTGCCCTATGCACCCCTCTAGAAATGCAAAGACAATGTAACTGTGGCGAAGCCTTCAAATTTGACACTTTCTCCAGTTACAGAAAGTCTGTATAAAAATGATATCACACCCTCAGCATAGTTTTCTGGTGGTAATAATCATTTCAATTTTTTTTAAAAAAATTAATAATAATAATAATTTGGTCACTCAATCCACGACTGTTAAGTGGGACACCTCTGTGAGCAGTTGGCTGCAGCATTTCGCCCACAAGATATACAGTCAATTCACGTCTCGAAGACATGATAAGGTGCTACATCAAATGCAAGGAGTGTTATTATTATATTAGCAGAAAGATTAGCTTAGATTCAATTTTACTAGTTAAAGGAGTTTTAAGTCTTTGAAATCCAATTGAAAGCGTTGCTTATAAAATGCACAGAATAAGCAGATGTAAAAATTTTACTCTGTTTTACAATCAGATCCATTAGATTCAGATACTTTCTTTTTCCAGCAATTAATAGGTCTTTTGCATAAAAAATGATGTGTAAAAGTTGTAACTGTGCTTAAGAGTTATCTTAGAAATCCTCACCCAATATTCATGATCCAAAGCCCTGCGATTTCTCCTGTCTATTCACGCTATTGTTCTATTGTACTCATTGTAGCCCAGTGTCTCAACAATAGGAATATAAGCATGTTCTGGAAGTCGAAGGAAAAAGGAGTTGTATATCACAGGCATTAAGTAGATTAATCACAGCACTTTCAATCTTTTCTCATCTGGAACCCTTTCACTTGACTGGTTGAACTCATTTCAGATCCTCCCTGCCAGACGGAACTAAACAATATTCAAAGGCAACAAAAAGGAAAAAAACTCCTAGGTGAGCATTTGATCTTCTTTAGACTCATCGTATAAAGTCAACAATGTACATAATGTTTAAGAAATAAGCCATTGTTATTTATTGACATTAATAATTATATTGATAATATTCCAATTATTGTAAAGTAACACTTCACATTAGCATCTTTTTTCTGTGTCTTTTTAACATTTCTGTTCTGGTAGGTCATTTATTTTCTGAACAGCGAGATTCAAGGTTAAGTACTGCATTTGGCTCTTGGAATAGTTGTATATATATTTGACCTTTAAATAGAGTGGCTCGTGTATTGTTTAAAACAAGAGGGAAGATATTATTCGTGGATTCCTGTAGCTCAGTGGTTCGAGAAGTTGCCTCGCAAGCGAGAGACCTGGGTTCAATTCCCAGCAGGGAGAAACCGTGGGCAAATTTCCTCACTCCACACGCCTGGATAATAATCCTTCAAGATAAAAAACAATAATAAATTGGTCACTTCAATCCATGACTCTCCATGGGACACTGCTGTGCGCAATTGGCTTCCTCGTTTCGCCCCGCATTATACAGCCAATTCACTTTACAGTATATTCTGTGAAGCGCTTTGAGACATCTAGAAGATGTGAAAAGCACTATATCAAATGCAAGAATTATTCTTATTATTATTTGATCAGGTATTAGTATTTTTGGCTGAATCATACTACTGTATTTTGTTAATGTGTTATAAAGATATGTACCTCTTTACAAGTAGCTGATAAAAAGCCATGTTCTTCAACTATGCACTATGCATTTCCTTATATTGAAGCAGCAAATCACTGACAGCACTGCTTGTAACATTTCATCTTGAGTCACTCAATTAATACAAATGGAGTATTTGTTCCCACAACACATTGGTACACAGAAATTTACTCAAGACATTATGCTGGAAATGCTGTCATACAGTGCATTAAAATGAGAAGACATTCCTTCACTCAGAAAGTCTAAATTATGAAAATCAGTGAATATTTATGTCATCGTGCCTTCTGGTACCAAAGTGATGTAGAGTGATGTGAAGTGAGAAGTCTGATTTGTACTTTTCTCATCCACTCACAATGGGCATGGACTATAGTGCTGCACTCATGCAACTAATTGCAGAACTATGTTGTTTCTTAATATTGTTAATTCATTTTTTNGTAATGATAAAAAGTTCTTACCTAAAAATCTGTCAACAACAACAACAAATTATACTTGTATAGTACCCTTCAGGTCAGAAAGACGTCCCAGGGCACTGGACAAACAAGGGTTTTGGACCTGAGCTGGGAGTTGGAGTCAGAAGGGGAGGAGGGCCAGGGGATGGGGTTGGGGCTGGGGGTGGGAGGGTGGCAGAAGGCATCATCAAAGAGGAAGGTCTTCAGGTGGGACTTGAAGGAGGCAAGAGAGGAGGTGAGGGATTGTGGGATGCAGTTCCAAAGTGTGGCAGTAGAGATCCTGAATGACCGACCAACAATGGTAGGGCGGGAAGTGGAGGGGACCTGAAGCAGGCCAGTGTCCGACGAGCGGAGCAAGTGGATAGGCTGATATGGGGTTATGAGGTCAGAGAGGTAGTGGGGAGCAAGACCGTGGAGTGCCTTGAAGGTAAGAACAAGGGTTTTGTACTTGATTTTCTGAGGAATGGGGAACCAATGAAGCCAGGCAAGAACAGGGGTGACAGCTTCCCAGAGCCTGTTGCGGGAGCGGATACAAGCTACTAAGTTCGGAATAATCTGCAGCTTGCGGAGGAAAAAGTCGGGAAGTCCATGAGCAGGCAGTTGGCGTAGTCAAGCCGAGATGTCATGAAAGCGTGGATCAGGATCTCAGCAGCAAAATCAGAGATGATTTTGGAGTAGATTTTAAATTGACCAGTGCTTCAGGGCAATTTGTTTTGGGATCACACTGACCATGCCCTAAATATATTTTATGTATATAATTAACTGGATAAACCTGAGCATAAACACAACATGGGAGAGTCAATCAATTTAGGATTGTGTGTCAATTCAGTACCTGTCTCCTGTGTATGGTTCACGCCAGCTATTCGTTAAATTAATCCAATCAGTAAAAATATTGTGTGTCAACATCATCGACGCTCAAAGAACAAATTGCTAGTTGACATTCAGATTATTTTACATAACTAGTGCATGGCCTCAAGCCAACTCAAGAAAACATTAAACGTTGAAGGTTGCCTGTGCTGCTATGTTCTATAGTTATAAATGCTTTGTTATTGTTGAAGAAACCTCAGCTCTATTTGATTGTGTCTGCAAATCCATAAAAACTCCACAGTTGAAGTGCTTTACTCAACTGACTCACCAATCCATTGAACCTTAGAGTGGTGGGATTTGGGACCATACCCCGAATTGGCAACATGGTGAGTCTCTGATCTTGACCAGGCCATCTGGAGATGGATGGATGTTGATCATTTCAAAAGAGACACAGCCACAATTAGAGGTCAGATCATTGTCACAGATATAGGGACACTGAAGTGAATTGTAGCACCATAGCTACTTGCTGCCCTGGTTAACAAACACATCCTGGAATTCAAATCTCTTACATTGTCTAACATGCCCAATTCTCACTGTTTATTTCATCAACCAGGCGAGTAGAGAAGGTTGTCTGCTGTGCCTTCTCTGCTAGATAATTCAGTTTATCCTCTTCTGGATACAGATTCTCATTGCTCATGTATTAGTTTTGTCATCTATTAGTTTTGTCATCTATTCACTCTATCCAGGAGATCTTGTCAGTTTGAATTGCATTGAAAGTTGAAATTCATGGGCAATTATGATGCAGCGAAAAGAGACATCTGAGTCAATTACGTAGCATAATTGTCTGTGATCTTTGACCAATTTAAGTCATTGTAATTTCCTGTCAAGATGCCTTAGATAGAATGAAGATGAAAGCCGTAATACTCGATCCCTTAAGCACAATTCATAATTAGCAACATTGGCAGCAAATGTAATAGAGTGATATAGTGGATAGAAGTGAAAAATTTAAAATGTAATCAAAAATTTAAGGAGTCATTCTTCTCGATTCACTTAGTGTCCTCGTTCCTTTGATACGCACTTTCAATGGGATTTTGCTAGTTAGAAAATGGAGCGTAATAACCTCCTTAGTCTAAAAACATAAAAGTGGCATATTACACTGTAAAATAGGTGACCTAGATATTCTTTCCATTATGCAATAATTGGTTACCACTAATAATAAATATACCTTCAAGCTTTTTGTGCATTTTTCACTATTAATAATATCTGACAGATTAAATGTTTAAATCCACCCAGCTCACCCTTTAATAATGGCAATTTGTGTGAGGTAGCAAAGGTGGGGAGGAAATTGAAGAATCAAAAGTGCAAAATGCTCTTATTAGCAGCGAGAGATGGAGAATAGTGAAATAAATATTCTGCGCTTGTAAGTTCTCAGCAGCTAATACTGGAAACTTAGAAGCACAGTAAGTGTTAACCCTGGTTGCTTGATATCAAGCTGATAAAAAAGGACAGTACCATGTTTTTATTTACTGGTTACAGCATAAGGAATATGATTTTTATACTGGTCAAATCTTAATTGATATGTGAGCAGCAACAAAATCTGGGATGGTGGCATATGCCTTCTGTGTCTTGAGTGCTCTTGGGAGAGATCTAACATGATGGCTGAGAGACAGTGATAAGGGGGAAGGTCATCACTATGACTGACCCATCACTTAAATGTGTCATGTCTTTGTTAAACTTCTGATTCCAAACAGAAGACCTTATCTCTGTCAAACATAGGTTGAAGGCTCCATGCATCTCTTGGAATGATCATACCTTGAGTGATCAAGTCCTGTTGTGTTACAGAGTCAAACAGCTGGGTAAAGTAGACTGGGACTCACTGATAACGCCTACGAGTTTCCCTGGAATGGGAATTAAGGAGAGAAACACCATGCATCAAAGTCACACCACAAACAAAGCTGAGATATGTCATGAAATCAAAGTTGGAATATTGAAAGCCTATGATAGAGTGGGATGAGGCTGCAAATGAATCATTGTCAGAGCAGTTATGACAAGGTAAAATCTGCAGGAAAATTAGATCAAAGCCTATTGCAGGTGAGCAAATGCCAGTGAAATAATCAATGAGAATTCAGGCCAGTCCTGTGGCTCGAGACGTCTGGTGATAGTGACTCCAGCTGGAAACTGCCTTTTATGTTATGGGGCCACATAGTGGAGCTAACTTAAACAGTGTCACTGGAGATGTTCCCGTGGCCATATGAATGGATCCAATAACTTTATGATGTGCATAGATCACCGGAATCTTGCACACAAAGTGGAAACTTTAGATTATGATACATTGGTGATCTGAAATTTAGTATGTTTCCTATAAATAAATCAAGATACAACATTATAATGTTCTGAGCTAACAATTGTGTTCTGTTTCTGGAGCACATCCCAGCCCATTCTGTCACCTTTAAGTTGCGGTTTTGCTTTATTTTCTATTCCAAATATCATATCAAAGTAGAAATATTACACATATTAGCACCACCTTCTTAACTGAAATGTTTACTAATAAACATCTTTTTAAATATCTGTAATGTAGGTAAGAGTGTTATTATGTGACATTATTATAACTTGGAGCAGGTTTCCAGTTGAGCCATGTCACAAAACAGCATTATCTATTGGTATTGGAATCTCATTTGGCAGAGAATGTTGTATGTGTGGGTGGTGGGGAGGGTGCATTTGGAAAAAAATGCATCAACCACCTAGTTGTAATTTTAAAGTTACTAGGTTACATCTGCCAGGTTTCTTTTAGCAGGCAATGAATCATTCAGCCATTCAGTGTGTTATCTAGTTCGTTGGCCAAAGGCGTGAGAGCTTCACAGAATATACTGTAAAGTGAATTGACTGTATATGTTGTGGGCGAACCGGTCACTGAAGTGTATGAAGGGTTGGATTTGTGACTGTTTATATGCATGTTCACATAGTCTGCTTTTGGCAATTTTAGGATTTTTCATTCCGACTTGTGATGAAGATGGCTATTATAAAGCAACCCAATGCCATGGCGGCGTGGGACAATGCTGGTGTGTTGACCGATATGGAAATGAAATGGGAGGATCAAGGACAAGTGAATCTCCAGACTGTGGTATAGAGTAAAACCAAAACAATATCTTTCTGAAAGCCTTTGTTTAGTCACATGTGGTAATATTTCATTAAGCTGAAATATCATAAAATTTGTAAATCAATGTGTTTACTTATTTTATGCATCAGTTAATGTTTTCCATAACGTGACATGATGTGGCTGATTTGGTGCTACACAAACACCAATTGACAATTGTTTTACTTGTGCAAATATGTCTAGATACTTTTCTTCTCCCCAACAACAACGTCAATAGAGACTTTCTTGTAAAGTGAACATCTTGAAGAGCTTCACAGCACCAATAGGAAGAACTGTGAAGGAGTGAGGAATGAGAATATAAATGGGTTGACCCAAATTTTCTCTCATGGAAATATTTAAGAGTGATTTGAAGGCAAGAAAAAAGCGATTTGGGGAGAGAGTTACAGCAAGCAGGTTCATAGGAGCTGAAGATTTAGACACTGATGGGATTAGGAACAAGCAATTGACAATAGTTGGAAAGTGCAAGAATAGGTCTGGAGGAGATAGTATAGGAAAGAGGGGTGAGTCTTTGTCCTGACCTGGGGTACTGAGAGTTAATAGAGACCGGGAAAATGGAGCTAAATGGGGCAATGATCCTGAGATAGAAGAAAGTGATTTTGGTAAAGACCCAGATGTGCGGTTTGAAGCAGAGTTAGGGGTAAAGCAGAAGTTGATGCACTGGCTCAGTTAGCACAAATGACTGCAGACATGGGGTGAGAAACTGTTGGGGCAGATGAAGTGAAGACACTGGGGCAGATTGGAACCAAGAAAGCAGCCATTGAGATGGGCCAAATTATATTTTTGTTTTGCTAAAAGCTTTGTCAAGATTTTCTTCACATGATTTGCATGTAAAGATAGTTATCCAGGGATGACTTTTTGTTTTAACTTGGAAATAAAGTGGCAGAAATAACAGAAATAAAGAGATAAAATGTGGTGTTTCATAAAACCGTCAATGCATTTTTTCTCCATAGGCTAATCCCATCTGAATTACACCTTGTTCAAACTCATGTACATTATTGTCCAATGGCTGTGAATGGGTTAATCCCTATGGGATTGAATGATCCTTTCTCCCATTCGCTAGCCAGAAAATTACTTGGATCCTATAGAAAATTTTTCAATTATTTTACATTCCGATGAAACCATATGGTCCTTTCCAGAGGCAATGGGCGATTCTGTCTGAAGTATATTTTGACTGTAGCTCTGAAAGTGTGTTCCATCTGCTTGCTCCCTCAGTTTTAGGGAATAAGGTTTTCCAACACTCACCTCATACTCACCTACCATGAAATCAATTGAATTAGATGAATTAGATACGCACATCCGAAGAAAGGATATTAAAGAGTGCAGGGAGATAGTAGGGAATTGGAGTTAGGTTAAGGGGCGGCATTGTAGAAACAAACATGAACAATAATGCAACGCACTGAAACACCTCCTACTTGACCATATACGATTTCTATTATTTATTGGTTACAGGTATAGAGAGATTAGCAGTACAATTTGCATGTTTCCTACAGTTCTTATCAGTATAATGCTCTGAACCTCTGCTTATCAGGCTTATCAGTATAATTCTCTGAACCTCTGCCATCTGATTTCACAATTAAGTAACATGCTTATAACAGCTTCCTTTATTTTGTAGGTGGGGAGATTGAGATATCAGGTGACTTTGGTAGCGGTGATTTTCACGAGTGGTCAGATGATGAGGATGATGATGAGCAGGAGAACAATGATGAGGAAGAAGATGAAGTTGACAATGAGGATGATGAAGATGAGGACGATGATGAATATGATGTAGGCAGCTACATATGGTAGTCTGGAAGTGTCACGAACTTTACTATTTTGCACGTTTCTATAGTGAAATCTCATATGAGTTATTAGACATTAAAAATGAACAAAAACTATTTCAGTCGGCGTGTATATTTTGTACAATTACCCTCAAATGGTTACTCCAGAAATAGGTGCGTCCCCTTGAAATAAACTTTTACTGCCTAAATGCTGCAGTGCTCCTGTAATCTGTGCCAGTTTTGCAAACACAAAGTTGAAAAATGGCAGCCCAGAAAAGAGAATTATATCACAACTAGGAAAAAAATGGCAAAACCTCAAAAGTTCTTTTTGTTTCTCTGAAAATCAATTTATTTTCAATTGTGTTCAATCCTTGTACATAAAATTGCATTGCAGTAACTCAAGATGTCTTCTTCACTGAAATAATCTGCAAGGTGTCTTTGTTGTTAACTCTCAAACCATTTCTCACAGCACCTGATGTACTAATATATCAGGGTTGCTGTTTATACAGTCAGTAACGGTTGAAATATATAATCACAGTTCATTGTGAAAAAAATCTCAGTCAAATGTCAAATTTTGCATTTGTGCGAATATTGTTTCTTCAGGATTATGTGGTGGAATTTACAAGCGGCTATTTCGAAAGAGAGAGGTAGTTATTGTCAACAAAACATTCTTACCATACATCTATCTAAACATAGTTAAGAATGTGCATGCCTTGACTGCCTGAAAGATATTTTCTTCTCCCCCCAAACCCCCATAAAATTGAATCATCTCCTCAAAGTACATAATTTCAATTCTTAGTTGAAAATAAAATAGAAGTCACATCGTGATGTGCCTTTCAAATTTAGGAATAGATTTTTTTTTCCTTCTGTGTTAAGGGTAGAGTTCAGGTAATATTTAAGCACACCTGATCAAAGCTTTGTTACCAGTGTGAGCTGTGAATTAAGAGAAAAATAACAAAAAAAAGTTTTCAATAGATATGGCAATTACTGTATGGACTATAGTATCCCATTACCACGTGTAGCATTAGCACTTGAACAATTTTGCTATAGACTAAATTACCCTGTATTTATGTTAGCATGTTATTTGATTGTGTAGAACATGTTGGAATTCCACTGCCTTGATGCATTACCAGAGCTGAGAGTTCAAGTCCTTTGTCAACTGAAAAAAACAACATTGTTTGTAGTTACTAAAGTAACCTTACACCAGTTATTGTTAATTTAGAACAAATGATTGTTGGTTTTAAATATTTTGCCAGGAATCTGGAACAAAAGGAAAATCATGAATTCTATATAACTCATTTTGATTAAAATTTACCTTATATTTTGAATTTGTGTTACAAAATGAAAAGCTATGCTGCATTTTTTTTTTACCGTTTATGTAGTTTGCAATAATAAAGGACTCCTGTAACCAACTACTCTGGAATTTTAAATATCTGCCCATTCGAGCGTGTCCAAATTGCAACTTGATAGAATTAAAATGTTTTCTTCAACAGTACAAAATCACGTCATGCACTGGTACCTCCCTATCTCTCTCAGCTGCTTACACCCCACTCCTCTACCCACCACTTCGCTCAGCTGGCTACGGCCTTCTGCTTGTCCTTCACCCTCTCCGCTCTACCAGCAGTTGCTGTGTTTTTAGCCAGTATGCCAAGAATTCTGTAACTCTCTGCTTCAATCCCTCCTTGCCCATTTTCAGATTACACCTGAAGTCCTTCCTCTTTGACCGTGCCTATGTCACCTCCTCTCTGTCAGCGTCAAGCTCTGCCATTGTTAAGCGTTCCATGATCCTATTCTACACAAAGGGTGCTATATAATTGTGAGTTGTAATTTGATGGGCTTTGCCAAAGTGCTTCTTATCCAGTGCATTTATTAAAGAATATGGTCCTCCTGACATGAAAGGCACTGTATAAATGTAAATTTGTATTATATTGTTCTTTGCTGGAGTCTAAAATGTGATATTCACACACCAGATTTCTTGTGTTAACTGTGATTTCCATTCGCAAATATCAGGGTGGTGGTGGGAGGAGAGAATTCATGGTATATGATGTGATAGTTGCACAATTCAGATTTACCCCTATTGTATTGTGAATTGTGTGGCCAGTGACAAAAACAATGTTTTCTCCAGGTAATTCCTTGTACAACACATAAAGGCCCAAGACTTTGGCAAGGACCTATGTTCCCATCCGAGTTGAAGTCTCATGAGTCTGCCTATTGTGCAGAGGATTCCCTTGAGAAAATGCTATTTACATTGTTGGCATGTTGCTGGCAACCAGTAGTGGAGATGTCACTAGTGTTATTTCTCAGTATTCTCTCTCGACCTTTGTCTGGGACAAATTGCACTCTTTAACTCACATTTTCACATTGCGCTATGTCTATGTCGCACATAGTGCTGTTTGTACACAAAGCACTGTGCTCGGATGTCCAGAGAATATCATGAATAATAAAACAGAAAGGGGCATTGGCCTTTATGTTATTGTCGAAGGTTTTGGTTGACACATTTCTTGTAATGTAAAGCACTACACATAGCTTGCCTAATTTCCATGGTGTGATACTGGGCCGTGCAGACCAGGAAAATTCCAGGGCTGATCCCTGGTCTGTGTTGAGTTAGCCAACAATAGCCAGGGAGGAGATGGGGGCACTGTAAATTGAACTCAGTGTTCCTCGGTTAGGGAGTTGCAAAGGAAAAACGTCAACCAGGGTTCTCACTTCTGATTATTATTCGGTGACCATGATGGATGTGCACACAGATCAATTCAGGTCAACACAGTGTCGGGCTCAGATGCCATGGAGAAATAGCCTACTGACATGCTCACATATGAAAAGGAGGAAAAGTACTGAAGGATTTTCAGCGCCGAATAACCGGCCCCATCACAAGCGACTTCCTTTATGAGAGAAGAAAATAATTGAAGCAGAGAAAATAAGAGGTAATCTTTTTCCAGATCCCCCACTTGAACGTAGTCTTTGGCTTTTGCTTAGTTGAAAACACATGAGGATGGAAACAGGCTTTTGAACAGCACACAGCACAACATTGATAGAAGCAAATCTTTTAAAAGAATAGCAATGGTTTGTGCATTCTCCATTGATTTGTCGTTATCTGTGATCAGAGAGTGCAATGGAAGCCGAGGACAAAAGGGAGCAATCCATTCTTAATTTAAACTACATTAGGGCATCGGGATTAAAATTTCCTGCAGCAATAACACAATATAAGTGGATTGACTTCAGTGCAAATCAGACCAGGATCTTTGTGCAAACACAATAGCACAAAGATTAAAGCAGATCACAAGGGGAAAAAAATCAGTGAGGATTAATATTTTTTAGTCAGAAGCGCAGATGTTCCATTTTTACAGTTTAAATGAGGAATTCACTCTATCAATATGATTTGAGAAAATCGACTTGTAAAGTTCTGTTTGAATAGATGTGAAATCTAAGGAAAGATAAAGGACTTCTTAGCTCCTAATCCCTTATGGAAATTGGGATTCGTGTTGTATTAATGGTGGCTTTTAGAACTGGTTAAGTACTTGTAATACTCTCAACTGGCTATCAGGACAAAGAAATACTTATCATTTGTTCACATAAGAAGTAAAATTCTGTTAGCAACAAAATGCTAGCAAGTGTAAAGCAAGTTTTTTGCCCTTTGCATGAAATGGTATCCCCAAAAGCTAATTTCACTTGATTACATGTAATTATTACAATGTACATACAATGACAACATTCTGTTGAAGTCACCACTGTTTTATAATGAGCATTGAGCAGTAGATTCAAACACAAGAAAATAGAGTTTCTCCCAATAAAAGTGGGTCTTTCACTTTATCGGTGTTTATGGGATATTACTGTGCTCAAATTCGCTGCCGCGTTTGCCTACAAAGCACAAGGTCGTTACCTCGCAGAATGTCCTGTGTATTGCGATGTGGAAGGCGTTATCCCGAATAGAAGGATTATTATTATTCTCTATGGTCAAACCATGGAGTGTTCAATCACAAACATTCCAATAATTAAAGAAACAACAAACAGAGCACTGAAATATTCGGGTTAAACATGTAGGGAATGGGGAGTGGGGAGTGGGGGAGGTGAGGGAGTGGGAGAGTGGGGGAGTGGGGAGAGGTGGGTGTGCATTCCGATACTAAACATGAAAATTCTGAAAATTGTAGAATTTTACTATTTTTAGTATTTAATACTAAGTTTGTTTCCAACCTACAACAGTAGTCACCATACCACATGTAAAGCTCACTGCCTCTCCAAAGTAGTTCTATGTGGAGGCAGGTAATTTATACAGAGCAGGTGGAAGAAAATTTAGCCATGCCCATTGTTAATTGCATACCACCGGATATTAAGGGCATAATTGACATTTCAAACCGTATGTGTAAGTTTCACCAAGTACAATAAATGGCACACAGCTGAACATCTCATCTTTCAGATGAAGCAAACTTGCTTTTTCACCTCCAACAAAGCAGATTCAAGGGTGGAACTGTGGGTCGGATGAGAGAACGTTGCATTCATAGCAAGAAATTGTATAATTTATAAGTCCCTTCGCTGATGCAGCAGAGACCATATGGATTGAGGTCAAGAATAATAAACAAAAAAAGGTAATTATTTAATGTGGTTGTAAAGCTGAGTAGGGAGAGAAGATAGACAGGGGAAAAAAAATTCCACAGATAAAAGGTCTGTAAAAAGGCCAGTCCATTAATCATAGGGGATTTCAATTACCCAGATATTGACTTGGAATACAGCAAAGGAACAACTAAGCAGGAACGTGTGTTCCTTGAGGTGTTGTAGGATTGCTTACTTAGTCAACTTGTCAAACAGTCAACATGGAACAAGCCAATTCTCAATCTAACCTTTAGCTGTCACTCAGGGTGGAAACAAAATAATATCAGGGTTTCATTGATGGTCATATTGAAATGCTGATTGCTAATGTGCAAAGTTAATGCAAAATATTGGACTTAAAAGAGCAGACTTTGAGAAAAATGTATAGTTTTTTATACAAAAAAGATGCCAATTAGAGCACAAACCACTGAGCGGTTGTAGAAAAAGTGGAAGTTTTTACATAATGTTTGGGAGACTGCAAACTATTTCTAGCTTTTCAGAAGCAAATCAAGGGGTAAAAAGAGCCAAGAAGTAAAGTAAAGTAAAGAAGTAAAGAGTTAATTAGGATTAACAAAAATCTGTTAAAACAGAAGAATATTTTAGCCGGAAAATTAACTAAACTGGGAAGTCAAAAACGGTAATTTGGAAAGTAAGAGAAATATTGTCTTTAATTGATAAAATGTTGTGTGTGTTGATATATATATGATATAATAATAATCCTTGCATTTGATATAGCGCTTTTCACGTCTTCTAATAGACTGTAAAGTGAATTGACTGCTTATTTTGTGGGCGAAACGCGGCAGCCAATTGCGCACAGCAATGTCCCACAAACAGTCATGGATTGAAATGACCAATTTATTATTGTTTTTTTTCTTGAGGGATTATTATCAGACGTGTGGAGTAAGGAAACTTGCCCAAAGTTTCACCCTGCCAGGAATCGAACCCAGGTCTCTCACTTGCAAAGCCAGTGCTCCAACCACTGAGCTACAGGACTATATGTATACACAAATAATGTTCTGTGCTCTAAATTTCTATGGTTTAATGGTTAAATACTAGGGTAAAAGGAAAGCTAAAATAATGTTTAGTTGAAAACTATAATGTAAGCAGTTGTTATTTTAAAGTGACCCAGATTGACCGTTGTGTATCATTTTAGAGCATCCAGAATTTGGCAAATTCTAAACTACACTCTTCATTTTAAAGCTTTTTTTTGTATCTTTCTTTTACAAACTAGAGAAAAACAGCTTCAAAGTTAAAATTTATTTCAACAATTTGTTAAATGGTGGACACTGAAATGCTATGTCAAAGGATTGAAAACTCAACGCAGGTGGAATTTTACCTCAGTTATCCAATTAAGGCAATTTTGATCCCTACACATTTCTTCTGGGACTGTGAAGCTGTGTCAATAAGCAGCATCTTCTGTTTTCTATGTGTTGATCACATAGGGAAGGAAAGTGTCTAAACCATGACATTTCAAATTCTCATTAATCCTTTATAATGAAGTAAACTTGGCAAATGAAAAATTAGCTGGTTCGTTGTCATCACTAATCACTGCTGCTAAGAATCCTCCAAATCTGCCTTCCTAAAATCTAACTCAATCTTGCCTCAGTGTTATCTGGTTATGAGAGTCTGGAAATCGCTAGGAGCAAGGATCTGATAATTGCTGTGTAACTAAAGCCTCCTCGGGAATAATAATACTATCATGACAAAACTGCACAACTTAAAAGTCACAGTCACAAAGAAGTGATTAAATTGGGGTCGTGCGATTGCTGAAACCTTATGGAAAGTGCATTGCACAACTCTCATTAGATAATGTTATTGCAAAGGCTGT